ATGAATAACTCTTTACTATCATCTCATAGCCACTGGGTGCCCACCTCTCCTGGACCGTCGCATAGACGCCTTTTTACCGTCGGCTTCTCTTAGGCCGGATCTAAACAAGGTCCACGCGTGGCATCTGGATGACATGTCTTTAAGACTGTGTGACTCTACCATCATGGCAACTTCCTCTTTCTTTTCTTCGGTGGATGCCAGGAAATTGTTAAATGACCCGCTAAATGTGATGGCTTCTGTCTAGCATCAGCTGATGCCCGAAGACAAAATAGACACTCATGGCAAGACCTTCTGCTTATGCCATTGGCTACACTTTCACATTTCAAAGTCTCGAGAGTTGCGAATTTCCGGCCGATCTGATTAGATTGCTCTGTTTTACTTTGTGCTGTGGTTGTTACTAAGCTCAGACTAGCGCTGCCCTTTTCCTGCTGTCCACTGGGCTCACATGATCGGTCTTTAGTTCTCCGTTTCTTTGCTTTATCCCTCTAAAACGACCTGTTCAGCTTTTGAGTTACCATTTCATGTCTTAACCCATCCACTTTTCCCCACCTCCTAACATCTATGAAATCGGCGGCATCGATGACCATGGCGTGTGATTTAAGAGGCAACCTTCTTCTCTCCCGTTTGGTCCATGAAACGATGGCGCATCTTACAGCCAAAGGAGTCTCAGACCTGATTACATAAAGGCCCCTCGCTGTGGACCTTCTACTCCTCCCTCCCAACAGTGGGCAGCTTCTCCGGGGCAACCTTCTGAGGGGGGGTAGACCAGTCAGGGTTTGAGAGGGCACACACGACATTCTAGGTCTTCAGAGTGGAAGTGGTTGGATAGAGATCCAGAAGCCTCTGCGGCTGCTGGAGGGCAGGGGGCCAAGGCGAGGGAGGCAGTTCCCAGAGATCCAGGCGCGCAAGGGTTGCAGAGAAGCCCCCCTCCATGGTTTCAGCCTCCTGCGTGCCTGACCTGGGGAAATCTCCAGACGACATCCAGAAATGCACGTCTGCCTTCTGCTCGGCCAAAGGCCTGTCCTGAACAGCTACCGGAGGGAAACTGCTTCTGCTTACCTCCCACCTTCTCCCTCGCGGGGGGCTCTAACCCCCACCGCTGGCAAGGGGGCCTGGGAAATGCCGCCTCCGGGCTGCTCGGGGAACTTAGAAAGGCTGGGGGCGGGGCGGGGCGTGTCAACACCGCGCAGCGCTTCGGAACACGTCACCTTTGTCAGTCCATACATTCAACGTAAAGGAGCTTCATTTCTCTCATCTTCTCTAAATGTAAAAAGAGCGTGTTGTATATTCTTCCCCTCCCACTGGATTGACTTCTTTCTGTGCCTCATGGACTATATAGACCCCCACCCCCCGACATCGATGAACTTGAGCAGCGCAGGCCAGCCAAAGGCAGGTGCCACAGTGAGGCCAAAGGTGGAGTGGGGCTTCCTGAGGCCATAGCCTGCCCCGCCTGCCCCCTCGCCCCTGAGGGATTAGTTCCCCAGGCGAACGAGCTTAGGTAAGGGCTTTGGTTCTTCAGCTGAAGAGCGGGACGCAGGATTACTGCAGTAGTAGGACACTTAGCACTCATAGTCGCTAGGAACTGGCTCACGTGCTCTATCATGAGCTTCCCGAGGCTCTTCCTTCCCATGAACATTGGGTCACCTCAGTTATGGTCTAGGCAGCTGGGGGGGAGGACGTAGGTCGCTTATTCCTTAAAGCTCGTCCCCTGGGTTGCGAGCGCCCCTGGAGCCAGAGCAGGGGGCCCCACATGTCCAGAGTGACCTCTAGTATAGCAAGGAGAGCGGGGAAGCTCGAGCTGAGGACGTGCTCACTGTGGAGAGTTGCTTTCAAGGTGCAGTTTCATCAACCTTCGGGAGAAAATTGGGGAAATGTCGGGAGGTAAAGGAAGGAACCCTGTCTGCCGTGCATTGTGAACGTGGGCCCCGGGCGGCACATCCTCCATGCCCGAGAGCCCTCCCTCGTTCCCTGGATCAGCGTCAGAGGACTGAGAGATACGAGCGCGTCCCGGCATCTCACCGTACAAGCAGCCCCAGAATTCCAACCGTACTTCATTCACTCAGCCAACGGTGAATGCAACCCCTTCGTACTTGAAAAGCGGTGCTTTTCCTCCCCCACGACATTGTTCCTAGTCACGAGGTTTAGCTTTTCATTCCTAGTCATGTTACAGAAAGGCGTGGCTTTTTCATGCTTACAGAGGGGGCCTGGGTTTGAAAGTCTGGGAAGTCCTACTCTGGAACGCATACTCTGAAGACGTTGCAATGATCAGAAATCATGCAAAGACGAAAGCAAACGCTCCATGCGCCCGGAGGGCTGCCGAGGTCAGCTTGCAGAATTCCGCCAGCTGGTGTTGGAAGGAGGGACTGAGAGGCAAAACCAGAGGAAAGATCATTTTAAAAGCCTGGAGAGTTCACAAGAGCCTAACGTGGCATGCTCTCTCCGGACTACAAGCTGACAAACCTTTCTCTTTAAAAGAGCAAGTGGTTCTGAATCCCCCAAATCCCAGACGAGCACAGTGACACCCCCGTTCCAGCCACTAGAGCGGCAGCCCTGGAGCCTCGGCGAGGACCCTGTCGTCTCCCAGTGAACTAACAGACACGCTGTTGCAGCGGGATGAGCTTCCGGGTTCAAAGGCATGGAGCAGAAGCTCCTGGCCTAGGGGAGAGGGGCAAGGGGTCAGGTACTGAAGGCGATGCAACCCCAATCCCGAGCCTCTAAGGCTTTTCCGCCCTGTAAGCTGGGAGAGCTGAAGGCAGAAAGGCAGTGTGGCTCCTGGCCCCCGGGGGTCAAAGGGCAGCCAGAACTGGGAGGCAGACGTGAGAACTCGGGGATGGGGACGATACGCGGGGGGCCCTGGTCCTTTCCAGCGCGCTCGCATCACCAATACCATTGCGAGCAACAAGTTTTGAGCAAAGACAAAGCTCACCGATGGAACTTCGTACTGCTCCCCTGGGGTCTCGTTTAGGCCCTCCAAGAGATCGGCCCTTTTTTTAAAAAAAAAAAAAAAAAAGATTTTATTTTGATTTACGTGACAGAGAGAGACACAGCGAGAGAGGGAACACAGGCAGGGGGAGAGGGAACACAGGCAGGGGGAGAGGGAGAGGGAGAAGGGAGAAGCAGGCTCTCCGCCGAGCAGGGAGCCCGGAGCCCGGAGCCCGGAGATCCGCCCATGAGGGCAAGTGTTAATAGTCAACTCTCTGGGCGTAGAAAACCACAAACTTAGTAGAGCGTTTCTTTATCAACTTTATCAACTCTTTATCGACTCTAATAAATTGAATGCAGTGAGAGCAAATAAAATCAAATCTGAGGCTTTGACATTACTGTGGTTTTAAAACTTTATTATATTTTAAAATCTGAAAACTGTAAAACATAGTATTCATACAAACACCTGAGGACTGTTGAACTGGGCACAGCATCTTCACACAATTTGAGAGAAGACCAGGTTTAAATTAGAATTTTGTCTTCTAACACAAAAGGAATAACAGATAAAACCACCCTTTAAATAGTTGCATTCTTATATAAAGTACATTTGGTTTTCTGAAAATGTACATTCATGCCCCTGGTGTATATTTTATTGGCATTTACAACAAATGGCTAAGACTTTTAGCACAGATTCTCATAGCTTATAAACATTACACCAAACTTATACAAAGTAATTACAACATATAGCACCATTTCCCCTTAAAAGTTCTAATTTTAAAAATAAAGCCTAAAATGAGAAGTCAGAATTAATGCATCTTCCAAAATTTAGCAGAATAGATGGCTCAGAGCTAAGCAAATTAACTAGAAACATTGCATAGGACAGAGAGCTTCCCTGTATGAAAACCAACCTACGGATTGTTTCTTATCCCCTGAAGACAAAGCTGAGAGGTAATAGTAATAGCAAATGATGCACATATTTTTTTACAGAATAAAAACCTCTAACTATATAAATAGTTCACCATTACCTCTGTGGCAGTACAAAGTGCCATATTAAATTCAAAAAGAACAGATTTACTTGTTTGTATACCTACAGTTATAGAATAATACATAAATACGGTATAGTATCCTTATGAGGAATAAACAGACAATAAAATATCTATCTTTAAAAAATTTGGGCACAGGTGTCTTCATATTGAGATGTGAGAAATGAATGCCCAGTTAAATGTCTACACTTAGCGAAAATATGTAATGTTTTAAAATAATAGGTATATTATTGAAAAAAATTTAATCAGACTCCATCCAAACCACCCTTGTAGTATAATATCTCCTGCATAAAACAACCATTCTATTTATCCTATAATTGTTCAAAAGTTATCAAAAACTGATTAAGAACACTTTATGAAAGTTTATAAGCTTGCTTTTTTTCTTTAAATATGAACAAATACAACATACAGAGAAATAATAAACAAAAGGAAAATAACTTATATGGCTTTCCCTTTCTAGAGACTGGCAGGACAGGAACAGAACTGGTAGTAACAGACATAAAATATCTGGAGAAAGACAGTATATCTACAGCTGCATCTTTAAATTCTCTTCTAAGGAAAACTTGTCACAGATTTCATTAGAGAACTTGTCAGTCCCTGATACTTCCCCCTTTGGGATTTAGCTGTTTTGGTTCTATATATAAACATTAACTTAGTGGATCACTACATCAAAAACTAATGATGTATTGTATGGTGACTAATAATAAAATTAAATTTAAAAAAAAAACATTAACTGAAATCAAAGGTGTTTCTCTGTTTCCAGCATGAAAATACATTTGTAAACTGTACAAAATGATAAACTGTAAACTGTAAAACAATAAAAAGACATAACTCCCAATTTGAATATGCTAATACTAACAGGTAAATAGTTTTTTAAAGAAGTAGATTGGACTATCATGTTGTTCTGCAATGCTGGATATAACCTATATTTAGAGGAACTGTCTACCAAACAAAAGCTGCTAGGGGAATTAAAATATTTTTAAATTAAAAGTTATCAGGATAACAAAGAACTCTGTCCAATCTAAACTTATACATTTTTTTTCAATTGTATTTTCCTTCTTTAAGTTTTTCAATGTAGTAACATAACTTTAATGCTGGGCCCAGCTTCAGCCCCATGTACTTCATCATCACATCACTTTTGAGTAGTAGCAGAGCCTTCCCATCAATTTCCTACAGAGAGAAAGAAATTACAATTAATAATGCATTCATATTTTTTCAAGTTATATATAAGAACATGTAAAATAGAGAGCAGTTGTATATTCTCGATATATATTCTCTGAATATGCATTTATTTCCTGAAAACTATTAAAAATATAATTTATACAGCAAGACATCATTTGATAATTTCTAAATTCACTTCAAATTTTAAGAAAAAGGAAATTTAATCCAGTATCTTTCAAAATTGGCCTAAGCACCAAACTATCTCATTTTAAATACTGTGTGTTGAATAAAATACTACATATCTATGACAAAGGTTAGAAAGCTATGAATTGTAGAAATGAATTTCAGACGGTCATTAACTTTCTTAGAAAGGCTGGGAATATGAGGATGTCAGCATCAATGCAAACTGTAAATGTGTTATACAGTGTTGTCTTTATGTTGAAAGCTAATCAGTTAGTTGTCTGAAGCTAAACTAATTAAATGTAAAACTAATTACCGATTTTCTTAGAATACTGAAAAGGACAGAAGATACTTGGTCACTGATTTGTTACAAAAGACTATAAACATTACTTAATAGACACAAGGCATCCTCCTAAAATTTTTTACTTCCTTAATTGACCAATTTATGTCGGAGAAGCATATTATTTGGTATTCATGAGCTCCTATTTAAAATAAAACTGCACTTAATCTTACACAGTTGCTGGATTCATTGGGCAGGACACCCTGTCACAGCTTGTGGTTACCCCCTCCTACTCACGGTCCTGGGGCCGAGCAGGGAGCAGGTGGGGAGGAGGATCCTTGTGGGAGAAGACATCTGAGAGTGGCCATTGCTGAATCATCTTCTCTTGAGAACTTGAAGACTTGTAGTATTTTAGGTACTCGGGTACCCATTTAAAGCACAGATCCAGCCTCTACCATTTAAGAATCTAACTTTGGGCCAAGTAACCTTTCTCACATATGGAAAAATCAGTTGATAGGGTTCCCCCACCATCCACACTAATCAGCATCCATCCAACTGAAGGGCCTGCACAGAGGTCATTGAAAGGCATTACGGCAGGAAAACCGGATCAAAAGATACATTACATGTTGCCTGAAGAGGTCGGCGAGGGGGCCTGATATCTGAGGATCTTTATGTTTCATAAACTGTATCACTTCATCCACAGACCAGGTTGAAGGGTCCTTAGAGAAGCCTTGTTTCAGGACACTGGGGTCAGGTACAGCTATATAACTTGGAGCTTCAATGGGGGGAAAAAAGACAAATCATACTTGACCTGATCATTATCCTGAAAGAAGAGATGTTAGGTAGGGAGAAATGGTCCCATTCCTGGAACCTTCTATTAAGCACCCCAGCAAGGACCCAGGACTCCAAGTGTAGAATCCAGTGAAAGCCTAGATTAGGATGACCTGAGGATGGCTACCCAAGAGCACCCCATCTGACCTCCCCCAAACAATAAAAGCAGCTTCAGAATTTACCTTAAAGCCTCAAAAATCATAAAACAGACTGATCAATCTGAGTCCTTGTGGGCCACAGGCAAAGACAGCAAAAGATCTGGTGCTTGGGGTAAATGAGGTTAATCTAAGCTCACCTATTACTCTTGAATTTCTCTCAATCTCTCTCCTCTTGGCCTGTCTAGATTAGGTTTCTTTTACTAGCTAAATAGAATGGAAAGTCTCCAGATTTAGTTTCATAGTTGCTTAAATTTATTCACTTTAATCAAGGAATCTCAATAACCCCATTATCTTTGAGAACCAAATGAGTTTTACCGAATCTCTCCCATGTATTCAATATGGATAATTTTAGCATCACTTTACTCTTCAAATTCCTGTCTCTTAAGGCTTAAATGGTTATCTGAATTTTGAAGAAAACAGGATTATTTTCTGCTTGGCTAGGTCAGAAGTAACTTTAACATTATACTCGATACCTCTCTCAAGTTTAATTGCATAGTAATAGATACTCTGGTTGAATGTTTATAGGTCGAAAAAAGAAATAATTGAGAAAGAGATTTAAGCACTCACACCTCAAAAAGTTTTAGCTGTGCTGTTCACCAGGTTGTGCTGTAATTTCTTTGTGTCCCAGGTAAGTATTCATTCTATTCAACCAGAGCACTTGACTCTCTAAAGTTAGTGTGTGATAACAGAAGTGAGTTTTGTAATTTGCCGGGAAAATCTGTTTCTTTAAACAAGGACCGTCAACACAAATTTGGTCTTTTTTGGTGTGATTTAACCAAAGATATGTTTTCTTTCCTATCATCTGGGCTCCAGCCATTTTAGGGGCATTTTGAGTATTTACCCAGGTAAAGGGCAAAGAAAAACAGAAGATAAAAGAACTCAGAATGTACGTTTTTTTTGTGTGTAGCTCAAAAGTGTACTTATTTTCTCCTTCAATATGACAACTCTGATGTGAAACAAAAACTCTTTACTAAAACATATCCTCCCTTTCACTTGTCAGAGATAAAAATGTTGGTCCTATCTACCAAGAAATGCTACTGCGCTATTTCAACCCAAATAAAAATGATGATGGTATAGACCATGCCATGCCTAAGGCATTCTAACAATTTAGGCAGAAAAGTCTTCTCCTTTAGTTCCAAGAAAGACTTAAGATGAAAAAACTATTGGCAAAGCTAATCAAGCTAATCATACCTCTAAATAACTTTTTTGTGGCATTTCTGGTTTATGTCATCAGAATCTGATACTGTTATATCTTAAATAACATGCAACCAGTTTTACAGATTACTACAGAAAAACTATAGGCAAATATGTAATTTATGGTATAAAACTAATTTTATATTAAAAATAAAACAACTATAAGATCACCTATTTTTAATTCATTATGGAGAAATCATTTAATTGGGCGCATACCTTCAAAACAATCAGAGAAGTTGTAAACATTAGTGTTATTCAAATAATTACATGAAATAAACTATGTGAAAAACAATCAAAATCCAGTCATGCTTTTCTCCTGAATGGCTTTGTCTTACACTAGAGTATCAGTAAGTGTTTCTGAAATGAATAAAAGTGATTTGATTTTATCCACAACGTTATTGGATTTCTTTCCTATAATAAAAATGAACAATTTATTTCATTCAAATAATGGGGCAGGGCAGGAGGTTGTGAGAGCATCACCAGCAATCGGGGTGGACTCAGCTTTAAGTAACAGTTCCAAGACCTTAAGGAAGACAATAGTAATGACACCTCTAGACAGTTTCCAAGGGAAATGCTTACCTATTCTCTGGAGATGGAAGCAGCCCAGCAGTTAAGCGTACAGCCTGGAGTCAGAGTGCCTGGATTCAAGGACTGACCCAGCCACTTTCTAGCTGGGGACCTTAGTCAAGTGACTTCTCAGATTTCTCACATGAAAATGTTTACCAGCACGTACGTCTTAAGGAATTGCTGTAAAGGCTATGTAAAATATTACATGCCTGGCACATGTCAGAGAGTGATGAAGATGATGCTGATTTCTATTACTAATAAGTAAATTACCAGTAAGTAATGTTATTACTCTTAGTCTTTCCACTCCTGGGAAGACCAAAAGCTAGACTTCTCAAGCTCAAATACAGGCTACTTTGGCATAGTAATATTAGTCATACATTTGAAAGTGAGCAATTCAGTATCAGGGGTAACCTTTTATAGCCTTTTGCTGAGAAGGCCTGTCTTCAAAGCTCTCATTTTGTGAAAATACCTAAAAATTCTGGGTATACCACCACTTGATGGGATAAGCATCTACCATCAGACTCCTTGCAAATGTCACTCTGAAAGCAGAGACGATCTACATGAGGTGGAAGATGGGGGGATGATATTAAACATGTCATGGCATGTATACAGCGCAGTTGCCCATAGAAAACATCCATTAAGAAAAGCAATCAAGTTGGATGGTTCCTACTGCCTTCAATACTCACCTTGCCTAGATGCCTACCAAGGAGAAAAAGGACAAAACACATTCCCACCCTTACCCCACCTCGGCCCACCCCTACCCCCACCCCCTTCATCCTTAAAAAGGGTAGAGGGTAACTATCTTTGCACATGGAAAACTATTCTGGCTCTTTCCAAATGGCAAAAGGATGCTGCCCTGTTTACACATGTTATGTATTCCTGGTGGGTCTGAGGGAGTAACTGAAGGTGTGGAGAATGGAGAAACAGCTACAGCAACAGAATACCAGAGCCCAGATCTGGGAGCCACACACAGGCTGGAGTCAGGAAAGGTCTCAAAAGAGACAAGGAAGAGAGTACATCAGAAAGGAGAGGAAGTGCATCTTTCCAGGCCTCAGAGTCAGGAGGTTTCTGAGTCCAGACAGGATCCAGTGAAGTGATAAATTACAATGGAACCATTAATAAGAAGCACTGATCTAAGATGTCTACGAGAGACATGGCTGGTGACCCAAATCCCCAGGGATACTTCTATGCCGCCATGAGGATCGGAGCATCTGTAGTGACTTGACCCTGACAGTAACATAAACAGGGAGGACTCAAACTCCTCAATCTTGGCACTTTCTCCAATGTGATACACTCTCAAGGGATGTTGTTGGGCAAAGAAACCTTAAGGAGAAAGAAACATGTTGGTTGAGAATCACTGTTTTTAAATATACCTTCACTTTTCCTCTGCATTTGGAATTTAACTTCATGGTGACTGCTCTTGGTAGATCTGGTCCCCACTAGTGGTGAACTTGAGATGCCAGGCACACTTGGAGAAAAATTCCTGGAGACTACAGTATGAGTGCTTACAGGATTTCTGCTGGTAGGGCTTAAAGAATTTGCTGGATTTAGTGGTGAGTTTTTGGAATCTTCAGGAAGCTTTTCCTCTTTGGGCATGCCATTTCCCTCAGAAGACAGTAGTTCTTCTACAAGAAAAAAAGACAAGGGCAATTATCTTCAGTAGACTTATAGCTTAAATACTACTAAAAGGTCAAAACATCTCCTAATCTTTAACAGTTCACTTAAGCCATGCTATACTGAACCATAAACCTCTAACATAAAGTACGTGGCCACCCCTCCCTTGGCATTTATAGTAATGGACACTGTCTTAAAATCCAAATTGATTCCACTATGTCACCTGTATTTCTCATGGCAACTGTCCCTTCCCAGTCTTGCTACCAAGGCTGTGAACACCTCACTAAAGCATTCATTTTTAGGAATGCAGTTCTTCACAACCATTATAATATGATCACACAGTTGGCTTCTAACATTTGCTTACTACTTGGACACTTAAAACTTTCAGTGCAGAAAGGCACTAGGCACTAGGTTTTTCTATTCACTTTTTATCAGCTTTCAGTAATACAAAACTGAATGGAAAATGTTACTGTAATTATTTTACTTTTATCTAAGGAGAAATGACAACTGTGTACTTCTGAAGAGAATGAAACTCCTGACAAAGCTACCAAAGTAGTAGCCTAAATGCTCACCTGATTTGGGCAAATACACACCCCCACCCGAGAGCATATAGTTAAGTGGTAGTAGAGTGACTTTTCTTCCCATTCCAGGAACTTGTAAATACTATTTACCTTTAGAGGCATGCATCTTTGTTTTGGGGAGCTTAGGTGACACAGGAACAACATAAGGTATAGGTTCCTGAGAAGGCCGTTTGGGGCTTTTCTTTTCTGTTATGTCTTCTTTTACTGTTTAAAAAAAAGGTGTCTCTTATAACTAACATTCCTCAAGCATTTTCAGATCATCAGCATATAACACTTGTTTCTAAATCATTTGCCTACTGTAACTTCATCAGCAATTTATCAATTACTTGATTATTTATGAATAATATGTGTTGATTTCATCCCATTAAATATTTTGGTGACATCATATTCAACAGCTAAAAGAATTATATACAGGCATCATTTATTCCAGGATCATCAGATATCTCTAAGTATCTCAAGAAGCAGTGAAGCAATCAATTATAATGTGTCTAAAAAGGCCTAGGAAAACTGTTCCCATGAACAAAAAAAGTTAAGAATTCAGAGAAGGAGAAGACAGTGTACAGTGAACATCTCATTTTATAGGCAACAGTCCTGGCCCAGAGCTACCCTTCCTATAACTCTACAGATTATTAAACCAAATGCATTTTTACCTAAAGGACCACTCTTTAAGGCATGATCCTGAAAGTAACGACATCTCAAATTATTAAACTCTAAATATCAATCAGTATCTTGATTTAACCTCCAACTAAAAGGAAAAATTAAGTATAAAAGAAATCTAAATAGTCTGATAATAGAACTTGCGTGAGAAGATTGCAGTGAGAATGTACCAAAGTCAAACTTCATCTGGTTCAAAATAGCTGGGGGTCAGGCATGCTTCTTAAGATCATCTGATAAGCAACTTTTAGCCATCTGGTTACTGATTACTAAAGAGTCTAAGAGAGCTCTTACCACTTGATTTTATTTTTAATCATGGACTACAAAAACCAATAGGCAAAACATATTTCCGTAAATGGCAAATATTTCTATAATTAGGACATTTAAATTCCTATAAAGAAAAAATTGGCTTTTTTCATACTCATTTAATGATATGGAAAATTCAAATACTAATGTATAGTTTTCTACAGATAGATGTTACCTCAGAATCTTAGCAAGATCAGAAAATCTTTTCTTTTACTTGTAATATTTTAATGCTTTCTTATAAAAAGTTAATGAAGCTAGAGTATGGTCTACTATCTGGGGCTGATAAAACATAGAAATGACTCTTGACTTCTGCTCCTGGGTATTGTAGTAAGCTCAGGCATGAAACTTTTCCTGCAGGGATAACTAGAAAAAGCCATATAATTTACAAAATATTTTAAAAGTCATCATAGAGAGGCACTTCCAGGATGACTGATTAAAGACCTGCAAAATCCACTTCATAAAAATAACAAAGAGATTGGCAAAATTAATTTTTCAAAAACTCTGGACATCACATAAAGGCTTACAACAACCCAAAAAGCATTTGTTCAAGAAAAAAGTGGCTGAACCTCAGAAAGAACAGCAAATTCTGTGGCATTTTAGCTTCCCTACCATCATCCCCTTCACTGTTTTTGCAGCAGCTTTGCAAACCAACAGGTTCATAAGTACTGTAGTTGTGAAAGCCAGCAAATCCTAGCAGTCACTGGAGGGAAGACAATGGGTTTGGGGCTCTCAAAAGGCCCTATCCCCAGAGAACTGGCACAATTTGAACAACCTTGAAACTCAATGGAAAGCTCTGATCTCAGGCTTTGTTTTATTGGACCTAAATCAGAGCCTGCTCTGTGTGAACAGTCCTATCTCTAAGGCATTGCTCAAACAATCAAACAAACCAAAAAAATCCACCGTAGTAATTGTTTAACACTATAGCTGCCTGAGGCAGCATCATCATTTGGGGCTGATGGGAAACTGACCAAAAAGCTTTAAAAACAAACCTGGAGAATAAAATGTCCATTAGGAGACTTTGAAAACCATAGAGATACTCCTGGGAATCTAGAAGGCCATATGCATGTGCAAGGCAGTATCCATGCCCAGGAAAGACCTAAGACCTTAATCTTTCTTTTCTTGCTGACCTTGAGGCTCTGCACAAAGCAGACTTGTAAACTGCCTCTTGGAATGTTCAAGGTAAGTTCCAACACATACATGAACTCTGTGGCAAAGGATGGGAGACACACTGGTTGCAGGCATTTATGGAAATCCCTGTCCAATCATTTGTTGAACACTAAGTGAGCAGACTTCAGTGGCCACATATAATAAATGAGCCCAGGAAATCATTAGGTTAGTCCAGGAAAGTCACTATACAAAAGCACCAGCAACAACAAACCCTAGGGAAGAGGAGAAAATCTGATTTTCAGAGTTACTGCTTTACACTCTTTTAAAATGTCTAGTTTTCAATTAAAAATTAGGAGACATGCAAAAAACATAAAAGTATGGCCTATACAAAGGGGGGAAAAACAGTCAATAGAAACTGCCTCTGAGGAAGCCCAGATACTGGAGTTAGTAAACAAGGACTTTAAATCAGCAATTTTATTTATGTTCAAAGAACTAAAAAATAATAATCATGTCTAAGGAACTAAAGGAAAGTACGAGAACAAAGTCTCACCAAATAGAGACTATCAATAAAATGATAAAAAATTACAAATCGAAATTTAGGACTTGAAAAGTAGTATAAATGAAATGAAAAATTCACTAGAAGGGCTCAAGAGCAGATGTGAACTAGCAGAAGAAAGAGTCAGCAAATTTAAAGAAAGGTCAATTGAGATTATAAAGTCTAAGGAACAGAAAGAAAAAAGAATGAGGAAAAATGAACAGACTCCAGACACCTGTGGGATACCATCAAGGACACCAAAATACACATAATGGAAGAGCTCCAGAAGGAGAGGTGACAGAGAGAAAGGGCCAGAAAGAATATTTGAATAAGTAATGGCTAAATGTTTCCCAGATTTGATAAAAAGCATTAATCTGAATATCCAAAAAACTCAACTATCTCCAAGTAGGCAGGATAAATTCAAAGATAGCCACACCTAGAAAAAACACAGTCAAACTATCAAAAGCAAAAGACAAAGAGAATCTTGAAATTACCAAGCGAAAAGCCAATCCCATACAAAGGATCCTCAATAAGATTAACAACTGACTTCTCATCAGAAACTATAGAGGCTAGTAGGAAGTGGGATGATACATTCAAATTGCTAAGACAGTCAACTAAGAATTCTACATCCAACAAAACTAAACTTTAAAAAATGAAGGAGAAATAAGAAATTCTTCACAAACAAAAAGTGAGGGGCACCTGGATGGCTCAACTGGATGAGCACTTGACTCTTGGTTTTGGCTCCCATCATGACCTCAGGGTTGTGGGGTCAGGCTCTGCCCTGCGGGGAGTCTGCTTGAGATTCTCTCTCTCCCTCTTTCTCTCCCTAATCTTTTTTTAAAGAAGTGAGAAAATTTGGGGCGCCTGGGTGGCTCAGTCGGTTGACCATCTGCCTTCAGCTCAGGTTGTGATCCTGGGGTCCTGGCACTAAGCCCCAAGTAGGGCTCTCTGCTCCGTGGGGAGCCTGCTTCTCCCTCTCCCTCTGCCTGCCACTCCCCATTTGTGCTTGCTCTCTCTCTGTCAAATAAATAAAATCTTTAAAAAAAATAAAGATTTTTTTTTTAAAAAGTGAAAAAATTCCTCACTTGAACAGCTTACCTACAAGAAATGAAATTACATTCAACAGTAACTCAAATCCACAAAAAAATTAAAGAGTACTGGGGTGCCTGGGTGGCTCAGTTGTTAAGCATCTGCCTTCAGCTCAGGTCATGATCCCAGGGTCCTGATTTTGAGGCCAGTGTTGGGCTCCCTGCTCAGCAGGGGAGTCTGTTTCTCCCTCTCCCTCCCTCTGCCCATGCTCATGTTCTCTCTCACTCACTCTTTCTCTCAAATAAATAAATAAAATCCTTAAAAAAAATTAGAGTACCAGTTAAAATATCTGTGGTTAAATATTTATTTATGAGAGAGAGTGTGCACGCAGGGGAGGGAGGGGTAGAGGGAGAGAGAGAAAGAAACCCAAGCAGACTCATGCTGACTGTGGAGTGTGAAACCCAATGAAGGGCTCAATCTCACAACCCTGACATCAGACCTGAGCAGAAACCAAAGTTGGATGCTTTACTGACTGCGCCACCCAGGCACCCCAAATACATTTGTCTTTATAACTCTTTTCTTCTTCTTCTTCCCTTAAAAAAACAAATAGGGGCACCAGGCTGGCTCAGTCAGTAGAGCATGTGACTCTTGATCTCAGGGTCATGAGTTCAAGACCCATGTCGGGAAGAAAGCTTAAAATACAAAAAAATGATAATAATGAAAAAAAAATTACAAAATTATATTTTGGGGCTTATAATGTATAAAATATAATTTGGCAATAAAAGAACAAAGAAGGGAGCAGGAAAAAGAGCTGTAGTAGAGCAAGGTTTTTGCATAATATTAAAATTAAGTTGGTATTGGGCGCCTGGGTGGCTCAGTTGGTTAAGCGACTGCCTTCGGCTCAGGTCATGATCCTGGAGTCCCGGGATCAAGTCCCGCATCGGGCTCTCTGCTCAGCAGGGAGTCTGCTTCTCCCTCTGACCCTCTTCCCTCTCGTGCTCTGTCTCTATCGCATTTCTCTCTCTCAAATAAATAAAATCTTTTAAAAAAAATAAATAAAATTAAATAAAATTAAGTTGGTATTAATCCAAACAAGATTGTTTTAAATTAAGATATTAATTGTAATCCCCACGGCAGGCAACTACTATGAAAATAACCCCTGGACAGAAAAAAAAGAAAAAAAACTCAAAAACTTTAGTAGAAGGAACAACAAAGGAATTAAGATAGTATATAAGAAAACATCTATTTAAAACTAAGATTCAGGGGCACCTGGGTGGCTCAGTCAGTTAAGCCACTGCCTTCAGCTCAGGTCATGATCCTGGAGTCCTGGGATCGAGTCCCGCATCAGACTCCCTGTTCGGCAGGGAGTCTGCTTCTCCCTCTGACCCTCCCCCCTCTCATGCTCTCTCTCTCTCTCTCATTCTCTCTCTCTCAAATAAATAAATAAAATCTTAAAAAAAAACAAACTAAGATTCATATACAAATAAAAATAAAAACAGAAAAAAAACATTTAAAACAAGAGGAAAGTTATCAAAGAAAAGAAGAAAAGACAAAAAGAAACACTAAGACCTAGAAAACAAATAACAAAATGGTAGATGTAAATCCTACCTTATGAATGAATGAATTCTTACTAGTAATTATATTAACTGTCCATGAGATAACACTCCCGTAAAAAAATTAGCAGAATGGATTAAAAAAAAAAAACCATGTTCCAATTACATAATTAACATAAAAGATACACTTTAAATTCAAATATACAAATAAGTTCAAAGGGAAAGGTGAGAAAAAATATAACACACAAACAGTACTTAAAACTGGACTGGTTATAGTAACATCAGACAAAACGGACTAAGAAAATCCTAAGAAATTCACACATACAAAAACCCCAATGGTAAGTAACAAATTCAGCAAGATCACAGAATAAAGATTAATAATACAAAAATCAATTGCATTTCTACACACTTGGAATGAACAACCCAAAATTTAAGAAAATAATTCTATTTACAATAGTGTTAAAAACAATAAAATGTTTAGGGATGAATTTATCAAAAGAAGTGCCAGATGTGCTTTCTGAAAACTACAAAATATTATTGAAATAAATTAAGGAAGACCTAAATACACTGACATCCCATATTCATAAACTAGAAGACTCAATATTTTTAAGAGATTTTATTAATGAATTGATTAATTAATTTGAAGTGGGGGAGGGAGAGAGAACACGCAAGCAGGGGAGAAGCAGAGGGAGAGGGACAAGCAGACTCCACATTGAGCATGGAGCTGGATGCGAGGCTCAATCCCAAGACCCTGAGATCATGACCTGAGCTGAAATCAAGAGCCACCCAGACTCAATATTATTAGATGGCAATAACCCCCGGACTGATCTACAGATTGAACACAATCTCTACTAAAATCCAGCAGAAAATGATAAGCTGAACTTAAAAATCATACGGAAACTCAGAATTGCCAAAACAATCTTGAAAAAGGAGAACAAAGTTGGAAAACTCATACTTCCTAATTTCAAAAGTTACTACAAAAAGCTACAGTAATCAAGATAGTGTGGTACTGGGGTGCCTGGGTTGCTCAGTTGGCTAAGTGTCTGCCTTTGGCTCAGGTCATGATCCCAGGGTCCCACTCTCCCTGCTTGTGCTCTCTCTGTCAAATAAATAAAATCTTTAAAAAAAAAAAAAAAGGATAGTGTGGTAGTGCCATGAGGATTGACATACAGATCAATGAAATACAAAGTCCAGAAATAAATCCATATATTTACAGCCAACTGATTTTTCACAAGGGTGCCAAGACAAGTCAGTAGGAAAAGAGTAGTCTTTTCAACAAATGGTGCTGGGCCAATTAGATATCCACATGTGAAAGAATGAAACTGGACCCTTATCTCACTGTATATAGAAAAATTCAAAATAGACCAATAACCTAAATATAACAGCTAAAACTACAAAATTCTTAGGAGTAAACATAGGAGTAAATCTTTGTGAAACTGTATTAAGGAATATTTTCTTAGGTATGACACCAAAAGTATAAGAAACAAAAGAAAAAATAGGTAAATTGGACTTCACTGCAATTAAAAACTTTTGTGCTTCAAAGGACACCATCAAGAAAGTGAAAAGACAACCTACAGAATGGAAGAAAATATACGCAAAGGATATTTCTGATACGGAACTTGTATCCAGAATATATAAAGAATTCTTTATATATTAACAAATATAAATATAATGTAATATATAAGAGGAACAAATATATTTCATTTCTATGTAATAAAAAGACGAAGAACCCAATTAAAAATAGAGGATTTAGATAGACATTTCTCCAAAGAACATCTACAAATAGCCAATAAGCACATGAAAAGATGCTTAACAACCTCAGCCATTAGGGAAATGCAAATCAAAGCACAGGATACTTTACAGGTTTTGATTCTCAAGTTCATTATGAATATAAGAAATTACCTGCCCACTTTGAATGAACAAAAACAACTATATATTATACATGTCTAATTAGTTCATGGTGGCTAAAATGTTTACTTTGAGGAGAACATGAGGAAAAACTAAATTACACAAGATTCTCGCATTAATTATAAAATACAAAATAGAAGCACAGTACAAAATTTTACATTTTCTCTCACCTGATTTATTTTTATCATGCTCTGCAGGACTAGGAGTAGTACCTCTGTAAGAGCTAAAAGGCTGGCTACTCAGAAGGTTATCACACTGCAAGCTATGGCATAAGGTCTCAAGAAAGCGAAGAGCAAATGATGCACTATTCACTGGAGGGAGCTGGACAGAGTGAGTTTCCCCATCAAAGGAAGCTATTGGGGGGAAAAGAGATGTCAGAGTTAGCTCATAGAAAGATAAAACTACAACATCAAAAAAAGCCACCAATTTCGGAAATGTATTATAAATCTAAGTCGTGGTTTTTGTAATTTATAAAGGAATATTCTTAAATTATAAAGGCCCCTCTCAAACACAACAGCCTACATTGGTAAAGGCATTCTCATTTACAAAGTATTCCAAGGCAAACAACAACAAGGGCAGCAGCGGCAACCCAGTGATCTCTACCACTTCCGCTACTCCAAGCATTTTGTGGGTATAAACATAGTAACTGATCAATCATGAAAGCCAGTTGGATCTTATCTCATAAGCACTTCTTGAGTCACATTTTCATTTAGAGCTTCCTATAGATCAGTCTGTTTTCTAAAAACATTAAAATATATTATCAACCAAGGTATTTTGTCTATAGTGAGCTTAATACAGCATGTAAAAAAATCTTTTACCTCAATTTACAGTATGACTCTGACCATTGTCTATTTTGAACGTAAAGTTAAACTTTCCCAGAGTTAAAAATCTATAAATAGATATTATATCAATGTAAGTATGTCAATATTATTAGTTAATAGACTACAAATATTATAAAATAATCTATATATTATAAAATCCTTGCCTTTTTAAAATAAAATCAAATTTGTAAGAAAAGCTGAATAAAGGGTTAGTTGAGCATACCAGTTATCACTTCTCCTCCACGATGATCTGGCTTAAGAAATCCAAAAACAGTCTTACTTTGAATGGCACAATCCACACAGGCCTGCACGGTCCTCCGGAGCACCACATTCACGGGGCCCGGGCCAAAGTGGTCAGGCAGCTGCTGGATTTTCTTCGGATCCAGGTGAGGGCCAGCATTTCCATGTTTGTTTACATAGACACAGACTTGAGGAAACGTGTACATAAATATAACAATCAGATTGGTTAAAAGCAACATAAACACTACATAATTAATTACTATATCCCACTAGCCACACTTCAAAGAGACCCAAATATAGTTAATATCAACAATCATTTCTGCTACCTAAAAATATATATGCAAATATATTTTCACATTTGTATAAAGACCTTAAATCTAGTCAACTTTCTAGAATTTTGCCTAGAATAATTATAATAAAAACTATCCAACTTTTAGTAGCATCACAAAACAATTCTTCACACATTCCCACATCATGTAAAATGGTATAAAGATAAATATTTTCACCTTTCAACTGTATACACAGTATAAAAATTTTCTTTCAAAACTGATCATGTTAATACACTCCTTGGACTGAATTTATTTTAATCACCAACATTGCACCTTCATTGTATTTTCTAAAGTAACCAAGTAATTTAAGATACATGCCACACAGTAAGTTCTAATGACCTAGAGTGATTTTTTTCATTAACTTAAGGAAAATAAAAATGTTCTTTATATACATGCCAAGGTTCACTGAAGAAAATTAAAAAATAATGCTTTCCTTAGTATAATAAAAGTATATGAATTAGAAGCAAATCATCTATAATCACACAAATGTCGTGTTTCCATAATATTTCTTCACTGAGAATCAATAAATATTAAAACATACAATGTAACAATATGAGTACATTATTACCAAGCAGAAAATATACTGTCCCCCTAAATCAAGAAGCACGTTATGTTTATCCATTACCTAATTTATATTGCCAAATTTTACATATATGTGGTCTATATTCAGTACAATAAAAACCCATTAATCTCTCTTTCACTATGTTGAAATACATAATTCAACCTTGTGGCAATAGCCAAAGGAAGGATGGACTTTGTCACAGAAATGAAACAGCTATTAAAAACTTAACCGGGGGGTGCCTGGGTGGCATAGTCGGTTGGGCATGCAACTCCTGGTTTCGGCTCAGGTTGTGATCTTGGGATCGTGAGTTGGGCTCCGCACTAAGCGCAGAGTCTGCTTGAGAATCTCTCTCCCTTTCCCTCTGCCCCTCCTGCTCATGCTCTCTCTCTCTAAAATAAGTAATAAATCTTTTTAAAAAAAATAAAAATCCATGGTGCTGATGGGATGGACAAAGTCCTACTGAACACAAATGAAGCTAAACAAAGATTTCAATGTTTTATCTCCTTTGCGTTATACTTATTTAGCTAGTCTCTCCTGCCAACAGACTAAAAATCAGAAATAATGAACTGACAAAATGAGTATGTTACAATAATCCTTTAAGTGATTTCTATTTCAAAAAAATAATTTCTTTTTAATCAGGGAAGGGAAATTGGGAAGAAAAGTCTAAGGAACAGAAGAGTATAAGAAAGACAAAACTAGGAGAAAAAGCAATGGTACATGCTTTAAAAAATAGGAAGGCAACAAGAAAACGTAGAAGAGATGACAAATAAAAGGGGGATTTGTTCAGTCTAGGTCTGTGTCATTTCATACTCTTCACATAACAGAGAATAATTTAAAGTCATCATGCCCCTGACAGGAAAGGATCTTTCAAGATTTTAAAAGACATTTTAAAAAGATTTGAAGTAGCTTTAAAAGTACATACAAGACAAAAAGACATTGTGAAATAAGATAAAAGGAAAACAGATTTGACAATGATGTAAATTTTGTAAATCTTACTAAGCTGGATAAAATACTTTAAGAGTAGTGAATTTTCAAGTGACTTGTATATTTAAACAGTTTTTCCATAACATCAAAATGAACAACCAGAATCTCAAAACACTTTAATATGAAAAATGCTAAGAAAAAAACAAAAACATGTCTTATCATCTTTTTTTATTTTATTGCTCAAATTTCAAAGACACTAAAATAACACAGAGTAAAAGATTAGTAATTTTATACCCTAATACCCTATATTATGCTATACCCTAATACCCTATACTATACTATACCCTAATACCCTATACTAATTTACCTGTTGACATCACTATTTTAGATGTGCCAGGAGCAGCATCCTTATCATACGAAACACGACGCTTTCTGGCCAGGGAATTTATAGAGGCTGAAGATGTAGAACACAAAACAGGAAAATATTTTTCCTGTAAAAAAAAAAAAAGCACAACTATATATTACACATTTTTAAAAATTCATAGATAAGGAGGTCGGAAAATTATCGGTCAGTGGTCACAAATGATCAGCTGTCAGAAGTCCTTGGGGTTGGAAACCTCTGTGTGTGTCACAAATTACAGTACTTTCCAAACTGCGCTCCTCAGAGGGGCCCATGAGCTGGTCAGGTGGGAGAAAAAGAGACCAAGAGGAGGGGATTCCCAGCATTACCCCTCCTCCAACTGGTCACACCTTAGCCGAATGGCTCACTCTGTAAAACTTGTTTTTATTTTCTGAGGTTCCCTGCCTGGCAAGTTTTTTTCACACTGCTAAAGTCAAGTCTGCAAAGCCAATCCAGCAACACATCAAATGGGGGTGGGGAACCTCAACAAGGCAGAGGATGGACTTTGCCTTTACAAAGCAGTCACTCATCTGGCTTTTACTACATCTGGCCTGCATTTCTCCACATTATATACAATTTTGACAAAATTACAAGTGCTTTGCTAAAGTCCATATAAAATTATGCCTATTGTATATAAGAACCAAAGGTCTTCTGGGCATTGTTAAGTATCACTAGTGTTTTATTTTGTATCAACTCTTGGGGTTTTCTTGGAGCTACCTTCAAACACAGCTCTCCAAAGTCAGAGAAGGGGGTCTTGTACCTAGAAAAGGTAATAATAGAGGATATTTTTAAAGCAGGGACAAAGGAGGATAAAATAGGGTAACATTCATTGTTGTATTTCCTTATTTGTTTAAATTAATGACTGTCACTTGGGTTCACTGTATTCTAGTAAATCATGTTATTTTTTAAGTACTGAATTATAATTATTATGTTGATATATTCTCATTCTTTCAGTATTTTAAAAATCGGAAATCTGAATCCTTTGACTTAAAACATACCAAGATAGTATGCTTGTATTAACACTGTAAATTGAATAAAGGTACATTTATTTGAAAAATGTGCTTCTATACCTCTAGAATCCTTAAAGGGGGGGCATATGTGGACAGTTGACAAAGAGTCTACTGTAAGAATAATTCGTACTCCAGTTCAAAGACTTCCTAAACAATTAAACTATGGGGGCATCTGGGTGGCTCAGTCGGGTAAGCGTCTACCTTCAGCTCAGGTCATGATCCCGGGGTCCTGGGATCAAGCCCTGTGTCAGGCTCCCTGCTTCTCCCTCTCCCTTTGCCCTTCCCCCCTCCATGCTCCCTCTGCTCCTGCTCGCTCTCTCTCTCATATAAATAAATAAAATCTTAAAAAAAATAATTAAACTATGGTGTGACAGTACTGAAAAAGGGATATAGGTAACTGCATGAGAACCTTCATCTTTCCATGACGAAATAATAAAGCTAAGAAGATGGTGAATTAAAATTCTTCCTTTGAAACAAAAAATAGTTTATTATCCAAAAAAATTACAGAACCTGTCCCTTGCCCCACCCTACCACCTTATAAACAATATTTTCAAAAACACCTTCTTAAAATTGTCAAATTAGCACTGGAATTATTTGAAAATAAAGGAGTGAAGAGAAACTTTATGGAGTTATATCTTCATCATTATGCCAACTAATCACAAAGACTTTTTTCAGCAGCTGGAAAATACACATTAAAAATATGCATCAGGGGCACCTGGGTGGCAGAGTCAGTTGAGCCTCTGACTCTTGGCTTCAGCTCAGGTTGTGAGCTCAGGGTCATGAGATCAAGCCCCAAGTCCCGCTCCATGCTCAGCGCAGAGTGTGCTTGGGACTCTGTCCTTCTCCCTCTGCCCCTCCCCACTGTGCTCTCTCTCCCTCTCAAAGAAACAAACCTTAAAAAAAAAAAAAAAAATGCATCAATGACATCCTTGATACATTCTAGTTTGCAAAATGCATTTAAAATAAAGCATTATTTCCTTTTAAATATCACAACTTTCCTTAATTTTATGCAATTTATTTTGAATTTGAAAATTTTAATCTAACTATATTAGAATAACCTGCTTATTTGATTTTTTCAATGTTTATAATTTTATATTTGAAATATATTCACTGTTATTAACTTTTAATTTTTATTTAAAATTTTTTAATGCTTTCTGAAATAAAAATACCAACATTAATTTAAGCATTTTAAAATCAGGGGCGCCTGGGTGACTCAGTCAGTGAGCGTCTACGGCTCAGGTCATGATCCCGGGGTCCTGGGATCAAGCCCCGAGCAGAGAGCCTGCTTCTCCTTCTCCCTCTGCCGCTCCCTCTGCCACTTCCCCTGCTTGTGCTTTCTTGCAAATAAATATTTATTTATTTGAGAGAGAGACAGACACAGCGAGAGAGGGAACACAAGCAGGGGGAGTGGGAGAGGGAGAAGCAGGCTTCCCGCCGAGCAAGGAGCCCGATACAGGGCTTGATCCCAGGACCCCGGGACCATGACCTTAGCAGAAGGCAGACATTCAATGACTGAGCCACCCAGGGACCCCAGTAAATAAGATCTTTAAAAAAAATAAATAAATAAATAAAATAGAATGAAATCAAAATGGGATTGTCATTTTGCTCCATACTGTAAACATTAGTTGAAACAAAACAGAAATGTTATATATATTGATATCAGATGGCTGAACTCAGAAATGTTTATTACTGCTAAAATTTACTTTAGTTCTAATAAGATCTAAGAAGATTCTATGTCTTTAATGTTAAGAATAAATCTCTTGTAGGGTCCCTGTGTGGTGCAATCGGTTAAGCATCTGACTCTTGGTTTCAGCTCAGGTCATGATCTCAGGGTTGGACTCCAAGCTCAGTAAGGAGTCTGCTGAAGTTTCCTCTCTCCCTCTCCCTCCGCCTCTCCCCCTGCTTGCTCAGTTTCTCTCTCTCTCTCTGCCTCTAAAATAAATAAATCTTAAAATACATATCTTGTAAAAAAAAAAAAGAATACATCTCTTGTAGAATAGATATATTTGGGTCTTTTTAAAATCCATTTTTATAATCTCTTTTAATTGGAAAATTTAGTCTACCAACTTTTAAAGTGATTATTAATATGTTTGGGTCTGGGTATACCCTTTATTATTTCTTTTCTATTTGTCTCCTCTGTGTTTTATTCCTCCATTCCTCTATTCCTCCTTTCCTTTTTTTTTTTGTTTGTTTTCAATTACTTGTTGAATATTCCTTAGAATTCCATTTTAGTTTTCCTACTGGCTTTTTAGCTATACTTCTCTGCATTTGTGTTTTTACAATATGCCCTGGGCATTACACTGTATAACCCACATAGTTAAAAAACTTGCAATGACAGAAATCCATATCCCCTACTCAAAGCCTTTATACTCTGTTATAATGTATTAGATCATGTTATGTATTGATGTTATGTAATGATGTATTACATCATGCCATATATATTACATTACCCCACAAGACCATATTATAATTATAGCTTTAGTCACATTATTATAAAGAAATTAAGAGGGAAAAAAAGCAAAAAACAAATCATTCACATTTACCCAGAGATAAACTTCCTTCAGCATTTCTTACAGTGCTTATCTGCCAGTGTGGAATTCTCTAAGCATGCTTTTATCTGAAAACATCCTTAGTTCACCCTCACCCTTGAAGAGTATTTTTGCCAGATACAGAATTTTGTGTAACACACCTACCTCCTGTGTGTACTGCCCCCAACCACAGTGTGTCTGCTTCCACTCAAGCTCCAGTATCTTCAAGTAGCTGTTTTTTCTATTATTTCCAGGTTCTAAAGTTGTTTTCTTTGGGGGAGTCAGTTAGGTGGCCTAGCATCATTGAATTTATCACTTTGATTCCCCTTTCCACCCGCTTTATTGAGGTATAATTTATGTACAGTAAAACTCACTTCACATTCATTTCTAAAGTGTACTGACTTTTAAATAAATTGGCCTGAACATAAATATACCCACACAGTATGTCCAATGTGGTTTTGAAAAAGTTGAGCACTATTCAAAGTTTTAAGTTTACCCAAGGAAAGAAATACCAATCTTGATAGCTAGCTATGTGGACTTTAAAAAGCTTTATATATGCTCTTCATACAATACATTCCTAAAGGGCCACATCATACTCTTAGTAAATCCTAAACTCTATGTTATAAATAAGGCACTGCAGAGACCTCTAATACAAATTAGGAGGAGATTAACTAACCTTTTTTGGGCCTTTTGTCCTTGGTGTAAGATTTTTAACAGCACTTCCCTTCTTAGGGACTGAAGTCTGTGCAGGTGGTTTAATGCGACCTGATTTCCTGATCTGCTGTGTTGGTAATATTACAGCAGTTTTCTGTGGAGACTGCATTGAACGTTGGGTTGCTTTGGAAACAGAAGACTGTGTTTTTGCTATATTCTTTGTAACAGGCACTGAGAAAAAAAAAACAACACAAAAATAAAACTAAAGTAAATGACACTGGTATTGTCTTCTTAGGACTCTAAAGAAATTTAACTCAACCATTAAAAATATTCCAAAGGTTATTCATTGAAAACCACTTAAAATAAAAGTACCATTTAAAATGAAGTTTCAGAGGGCACCTGAGTGGTTCAGTCAGTTAAGTGTCTGACTCTTGATTTCAGCTCATATCATGATCTGAGGGGTCATGAGATCAAGCCTCACATCGAGCTCCATGCTCAGCAAAAGTCTGCTTGAGATTCTCTCTCCCTCTGCCCCTCCCCCCACTCACACGTGTGCCCTCTCTCTCTCCCACTAAATAAATAAAATCTAAATACATACATACGTACATATATATATATATAAAATGAAGTTTTAGGTATTTAAGATTTCAGATTATCAGCAAGTAGTCGAATTCTCCAGAAAAAAATAAAGAGGCTTTTATAAGACAAACCAGTAACTTCAAACTTAGCATAGTGAAAATTTCTAGCAATTTACTTTTTGTCTGCTTCTCCTGTTTTTAGTTCTTAGCACAGAAAAGAGTTTTCCCTTCAGAAAATACCATGCCAAAATATCTAACCATGCCATATGCAGGAATCACTTTACCCATCAATACAGAAAAACACAGCAAAACAGCTATCAACTTGTAGTTCATCTTTCAGAGGCCAGAGGAATTCCCTGCATTTGATTTTTAATGGCTCAAGCACATTACGTTCCTATATGTACGTCTAGTAATACAGCTTCATATACTACAATATAGACTCTACATTAACATTGTCATGGAAGGACCATTATCACACTCAAGTAAGCCCTATCCAGACAGTTTGAGCATGTCAAATGAAGTTACCTGCCAGGTTACTTTTGTCTATGTTCATAGTCAAGTAAAAAGAGATGTTTTTAGTATTAATCTCTTAATTTTATTACAAAAACATGAATTTTACATAGTAAGAAGTACTAATTCCAAAAATTCTTTACAGGAAGAGCTGTGTAAGTAAAACATTTATACATTTATGTAAAACTCAACTGCTTTTAATTGGAGGGCTTCATTTTACAACTTGAAACTAATCTATCACTTTGCTCCTCCCATACTCCAAGACTATGTATAAATCTGACCTTCGACAGAGAATAACACATCCTCCCGGTAGCCTTTTTATCTACTTTCTATCACTTGCCAAACCAAGAGGAGGGAACAGCCTTCTCTCAGCTGCCAGGGCAAAGGGAAGACCACTTAACTGCCACCATCATTTCCCCCGCTTATTTACAGTAATTCAGGTACTTACCCCAGTCTCCTTACCTCTTTACCATCATCTACCTCATACTCCACACTCACTTCTCCTTTCTTCAGTAACTCCAGTGACCTAATTCACACTATTTCTCTCTCTCACACAGTCTCCCTGTCATCATCTTCAGTAATTTAAACATCATAATCTGATGCTTCATCATCCTGACCTCATCACCAAGAGTTCAGCCCCTCCCTAAAATGGTTATACTTAGCTACTTCTGGATTCTTCTATCTCCAAGACAACCACTGTGCCACCTTTCTTTACCTCCAATTTTCTTACCTGTCATCTTTGCTTCATACAAACTGACCATGCTTTTTATGCTCATTATGAGCTCTAGCTACCAACCCTCTCCATTTTCATTCAATCTGTTAACTTTCTTCTGGCTTTGCTTTACTACTTATCAACCTCCCATCCACTTCTGCCAATAGCCCTCTAACTAGTATCCCTTACTTTATCACCCCTTGATCTTTGATCATGTCTAGCATGTTGGCTCCCATCTTTGAGGCACACTATCATTTGCTTTCTCTGGTCTTGAGCTACAGAACAAGGGTCAGCAATCTTTTCCTATAAGGGCCAGAGAGTAAGTATTTCAGGCTTTGAAGGCCGTATATAGTCTCCAACACACATTCTTCTTTGTTTGCTTGGTTTTCTTAAGTCGTTTATGAATATAAAAACCATTCTTACCTCACAGGCTACATGGGCTGGATGTGGCTGGCCCTTGGATTGTAGTTTGCAACTCTTGCTTTGGAACATGAGAATATTATTGATTGCTATAAAATCCACACTAACCTGAATTGGGGTGTCACTGCTGCAACTCACTAATTTCTAAGTATGTTCCACAGCAGAATGTTTTTCCCTGTTAAAAGTTTCTATCTCCTTCTCACTCTATTCCATTCAGCAAACGATTATGGGAAGATTAAAGGGTATCTTTGGGAGTGACCATAACCATACCATTTCTCCATCTTAAAATGCTGTTAGTTTCATTCATTTTCATCTTTTCCTCTTGCATCAAATGAAAAGTTTTGTCTCTACTCTTCTAAGTCCAATCAATCCCCTTTACTTATGTCCTAATAACTATCTTCTTTGGTTCCTCTGGGACATTATGGTTTCAATGTCCTCCTCTCTCTTCATGGTATTTAATCACTTGATCCCCAACTCATTGCTCTCTCTTACAACCCTCATAAACCCTTTATTTTGAAGTTAGCTCTCCTAGTTTCTGGTATACTTTCAAGCCCTTGCATGAATCTCCTTCTATTCACTACCAAAATACCAAGAATCACCTATACTTGATACTTCAATTTCCTCATTATTCTATGTTTCCTTAGCCCCCTGTAATAAACTTTTCTTCTTCCAAACATATTTTAAAGAAATTCTTTCCCAAATCAGTAATGACACTTTCCTAGTTACTAAATCCAAATAAATCCTCACCGTCTTGACTAATCTATTCATCTCCACAGTTCTGGTCTCCACCTCTGAATACATGGCATGAAGAAAAGGAAACAGATTAGGCTTTGGACCTGAGTTTAAATTCTTGTGCCAGGTTGGTTTAAGACAGAACCTAGGAGAACAGAAGGTCCTCAAAAAATACTTACTGAATGAACGAAAACTATTTTCAACCTGCAAGCCAATGTTATTCCTCTAAAACCGGTTCAATATGTAATTAAGTTATAACGAATAAAAAGTAACTTCGTGGAACATGGCAAATGTAATGAAATCATTATTTGATTTAAGAATTTTGGCATTTTAAAATTTAAAATGTGGCATTTGAAATTAATAAACCGTGGGACACAAATACTTGAGCTACAGCTTCAAATATTCCCCTAAAATATAATAGTCTATGATAATAAGAGCTCCTTAATTCATGGTATATACATATGTATGAGCAAAATAAAAAAAATTATAAAAAATTTTATGTATGAAAAGAAATTTTCACTTTAGAAAGCAAGCTTTTCAAAGGCAAATACTCATTTTCATTTACTGCCATATCCCCAGCACCTAGAACAAAATACTTTTTCAACTATTTTAACTAAAGAGGAAAGAGTAATCATCCAATATATTAGACATCAAAATTAACCTATATACATTATACATGTATTTACCTCCAAAAAGCAATCATATAACATATACACCATGCTGAAACTCTATTAAGTATTAATTAAATTATTTCCAATACAAAATAAATTTGTTTAAATGTTAAGGCTCAAATTATATATAGCACTATAACCATGTGTTCATAGTGGCCACAAAGTGAGTAAAAACCTTTTTGAAAAAAGTATGTGAAATATATAGAAGGATATACTAACCATCTTTAATAAAATTTTTATGTGAATACCTAACACAAAACCTACCTGGTTCTTCAGCTTATCTTCAGATAGAACAGAGAATGTTCAGCTAAGAAAAATATTCAGGAGATGAGAAGTTAGTGAATTGTGGAAATGCAAAAGAAATTAATAAATCTTGGGAAATGATCAGAAGGCAGTAAATAAAGTCAAGAGGAGGCCTGGAAGCCTGGAACGGGGGGAACTGAAGAAAGGAAACAGATGTCAATATTTATTGGCTACCCATTACATGCTAGGCACTTATCTATCTGCTACCCCATGTAATCCACCCAAACGTCCTATGAGGTAGGGATCGTTTCGCCCACTTTCTACATGAGGAGACTTAGGCTCTGTGAGGTTAGATAATTTAGCCAAGATCACCCATTTGGCTAAGAGAGTTTGGTCTCCTAAGTGCATGCTTTTTCAAATATGCTGCCTTGCTTCCTGTCCTCTAGCAAAAAAAGGCTATTAAAATTCACTCCCCTGAGTCACAGTGCACATGTTTACAAAAAGAGGGTGAGGGGGACAAAAGACAACCTTGTGAATTCCTATGTGGTATTTCACTAGAGAGTCCATAGGTGCTGACTTAAGTTTTTTAAAAAACCAGAAGTAGAGGCATACTTACAAAGACAAAACATTAACAAGTACAGACAAAAACATGCTGGTAAAACTTTTCATGCTTGGGGATTTAACCTTATTTAATATTTATTTCCAAATAGTACTCATTAAATATACATTTCTGCTGACACATGAAGATGCTTTATTACTGAAAGATAGTGCTTGCCTTCTCTGAACTGTGAAAAGACAGCTGCACATACAATTACCACAGAAAAGGAAATACACTTAGAAATGAACAGCAACTTCCTGGTTCCAGCTACTGTTACACATGTGCTGGTTTAGCTTACACATGGCTGACTTGAACCTAAACAAAAACGGATCAGAGATATAAATTAATATGTACCTTGCTTTTGATTTAAAAAGACTTAAGAGGTATGGTTGCTTAGTGTTCTTCAGATTTTCCATCCACCAGTTACTCAATACTTAGTGTGTACTTTTTACCAGCCTAGGCAATTTAGGAAATCCAGAAGAAATAAATATGGTCCCAGTCATATAGTTCATGTTTCCCATGAGTATAACTGTGGATCCATAAAATTCCTATTTCCTTAAGTAGAAAGATGATACAGGATTTCCTTCCCCTCAATTAGACTGAATGCTATATGACAAGAACAGAAATTACTATAAAAACAGATTCCTTGAACTTGAGCCAAGAAATAAACAAAATCAAATTCTAAATAGCCAAAAACAGAAAAGTAAGATATGGTCTGGAGAAACCAAAAGTCGTAAAAAAGAAAAATCTGTCATTGTAAACGTTTG